CCTACTGACAGCATCTGTTGTGACAGGGCTGGGAGCCATGACATTGAGGCAACTAAATCAGGTTTCCTCAAATAGTGAAGGCAGGAAATATAAGAGAGCTCACTGGAGTTAGCATATTCAAATTAAACAGATGTAAATGTATCAGTGGGAAAATCCAGCCTTTTCTGATGCTCTGCCTTTCTGGTTTTTAACTGTTATACTCCTGATTGCCCAACCAAGTAAGTACAAGGGATAGAATAGTGAATAACATTTGCTCTCTCTTCTCATAGATTTCCCAGACTAAAGTTATGAACAAGAAAACGGAATCTTCTTTGTTCCTTCTCTCACCTACAGATTCTAAATGCGCAGTGTGTCTTGAATAACCATTCTTCCTCTCATATACCTAATGCTGTACTCTAATTTTTACCCTTACTCATCTATTTCACTTCCAAGTGCTTTTAATCACTTGTATCTTTTTGTAGAAACATTTTAAATATGCACCCAATGTATACTTTCATTTATAATAAATGGCACTATATATAAAATCAAGTATACACAGAAAAATATGAAGGATTAAATAAAAACAAGTTCTAATATTTCTTCCTACACCCCAATGGATTAAACACATTCCACCTGAAAACTCGACTATGGCAGAAGGTTCTAAACTTGATACTACCAATATAAATCTTAAAAATTAAGTGCTGCCTTCAAACATATTAATGAATAAATACTATAAGGACATTTATGAAGAAATAATTCATGCTACCTAGACAACCAGAGGGAAGGCAAGCAAAGCTCATAGTAAAGGCTAGGCCTTTGGAGTCCATACTTTATACTATAAACAGTAAATGATTCAGTTAAACGAATCACTCAGCTGAACTACGCACTTCAGACAACACAGCAGTATCAAATCTGAACAGAAAACAGGCCATTATAAAAAGCCCGTTACTTTGTTGCAACATAAATCAGCTTCAAAACTAACCGTTAGAAACAAATTCTTTTTTTTTTTTTTTTTTTGAGACGCAGTCTCGCTCTTGTTACCCAGGCTGGAGTGCAATGGCGCAATCTCGGCTCACCGCAACCTCCGTCTCCTGGGTTCAGGCAATTCTCCTGCCTCAGCCTCCCGAGTAGCTGGGACTACAGGCACGTGCCACCATGCCCAGCTAATTTTTTGTAGTTTTAGTAGAGACGGGGTTTCACCATGTTGACCAGGATGGTCTCGATCTCTTGACCTCGTGATCCACCCCCCTCGGCCTCCCAAAGTGCTGCGATTACAGGCTTGAGCCACTGCGCCCGGCCCAAATTCTTTAATGAATGAGATGATGTCAACACCAAATGCAAAAGATACATCAAGAAATTAATATCTTGGATTCACTCTTTTAAAGGGAAAAGACAGCCAATAATAAATGTAATATATGTTATTTCATACGTACACACTTGACCCTGTATTCAGCACTTCACATTCCTAAGGCATCTGAAGAAAAGACTAACAAATTTTAACTTTATTAAGCCTCGACACTACTAAATCAAGTACTAGGTAGCTCAGAGTAACACCAAATTAAAAATGAAACTCACTCATGTAATACAGAACTTCACTAAAAATTTCTAGATTCACTTCAGAATACTTTTACTTATTTGCCATTGTGTCCAATACTTGCAATTTTTCATGATGCTTTTCAATTGTCAAATGAAAATACACTACAAGAACTATATGCCATAAATGCTTACTTTAGTTTCCTATTTTGTTCTGAACCAGGAATTCGTGAACAGAGAATCTTTTCTATTCATGATACGTAAAATATGTAAGCCATGAAAACATGACAGACAGAGGGAAAATGGCTGGCCATTTTGGAGCACCTTTAAAGCTTAACAAAATTTTTTGTTTCATAAACCCTTGTAAGCAACATATGCACATAATATGTACCATGTCATTCTTCCTTTGGTAAATATTTATCTACATTGGAATGGATAACTCCATTTTGTAGGTTTGTCTATATGTTTATAAACAACCTATATTGTAAAAGGACTGTTATTTATTTTAATCTAAAAATAAGCAAATGCGAAATCACAAAACAGTGGTTATATTTAAGTAGTTTTTATCCAACCAAGGATAAGCATTCAAGTAATTATGTAAAGTTTGTGCCTTAGGACTAAGACATAAATTTTTAATGAGCACTCAAAGTCTTGCTGTTAGTTCATCTGTAGAAAACAATTAAACACACATTTGGTTTGTACAAATTTTATGTATTATAGAGTTCTCCTTTCTGAAATAAAGATTCCTAGAATCACTGGTAACAGATAAAAAGCACATTTCCAATTTATGATAAAGAGTGGTACATTTTCCAACATTATAGCTTGGCTAACAGGATTCAATTCAGCAAACATTATTTAGCACATATTACATGCCAGACCACAGGGGAGAAAAATGAAGCTCAAATGGCATTCACTGTCTAGTAATGGCTCAAAATCTAGCATCAAATCTCCTAGGAATATAAAATCTAATCACTTTATATTCTTTTATCTCCTAAGGTGTTAAAATCTAAGATGTTACTGTTCACGATGGCAAAAAATGTTAGGTTACGTTCATGGTTTAGCACTGGAAAAATCCAACTTTAAAGGTGTATGTAACATGAATATGACAAATACAAACCATCTCAAATAAATACCACAAGTTTTCTCCACTGTGATTATGCCACAATAAATGACTACCACATGGCATGTGGTAATCCAATCTGGCTGTTAGACCAGAACAAAATTGTTCCAACTGATTCACGACATTCATCAGCTACCTACTCAGAACAGACATTCATAAGCACACAAAGATGGATCCGTAACAGTGATGCAAAACATGCATCGCTGGTTATCAGATAAAACACTATTGGATGTTCTTGCTATTAGGCGACAGTTGTGAATTTAATCAAGGCTCTACCTGAATTACTTGGTGAGCCACCTCCACCCAATTCATCCCACAGGAAAGAAAGTGAAATGAACACCAAAAAATAAAAGCAGCAACCCAAAACACTATTGACAGACTTACTAGCACACTACTTGTTTTTTCTATTTTGTGTTAAGCATGCACAGAAGAGGAATCCGACAGGTTTAACCTCAGATTAAACTTGAAGGGCCCCTCACAAATGCTCTAACACCTAAACAGAAAGGCCAGTATCTACGGTCAAACTACCATGACCATGCTCAAGACAACACTTCACCACATCATTACCTTGTTCTTACCACATAGCCCATTCTTCACAATCCGTATAATTCTGAGACATGTTCCTTCTCCACCCACCCCAAGGAGAGAGAGCTCTAGAACCAAAAATCAGTAACACTTATTAGAAACTTAATCATATATTAAGACCTGGCTGATATGGTGGAGGGAACTCTAGCTTTGGAGTAAAATATTGCTAATTTGCATCTTGGCTCAAAACTGTATTTTCACTGGTTTCTAAATCTCTTTAAAGCCTTCCAGTGGCCCCAGTTGCACCTACTACCAGCTTATTTAACTCTAAATAAGCAGGTGTGATTTAGACTGAAACAGTTATATAGCTGACTAAAACCAGATTGACTTGCCAAATGTAATCATAGAAAGATAATGGGAGACGTGAATCTAAAGTCTACTAACCAGTTATTAGGTTACTGAACTACTCACTCAATTATGCTGTAAATCAGTTTCCCTTTTGTACACAGGTTTCCCCTGACTCTCTTTCACTCTCACCCTCTTTCTCTTGTCATAGGCCCCCTTCGGCAGTCTGATAATATCTATAGGCTTCCTCTCAGAGTAATGTTTCAAATGCATAAAATACACACTGGATTTGTTGGTATCACATTTATGGACCCCTCCCACTTGACTTTCATAATACATTAACTGCAGATTATGAGCTTTTGTTATGGAAGGAACTGAATTAGATGGACTCTTCTACTTAATCTTTGATTCCAAACTCATGGTAAGTTTCATTATAACGAAATCTTGTAAATAATGTAAAAATCATTTGCTTTACAACTTATTGTGATTCTCTAGATACCTATACCTAGTATCCCAAAACCCTCAATTTTTTACGTTAACGCACATGGCCTCTGATAGATTTACCTACATATTTACTTATAAATGTTTAGATATTTATACCAGACAGTGAATATATTAAACACTTCTGATCATCTATTTGATCAAAATACAACACTAGAGATACTAGGAATAAAAAGCAACAAAATAAGAAGTCCTCTCTTTCATGGAAATTTAAAATATAATTAGGGGACAGGAGTTGAGCCTCATGCTGTAATCCCAGCATTTTGGGAGAATATGGCAGGAAAGACTACCATGGGCAACATAATGAAAGCCCATCTCTAAAAATAAATAAATAAATAAATAAATAAATAAATAACGAGGTGTGGTCATGCACATGTATTATACTTCTAGCTACTCAGGAAGCTGAAGTGAAAGGACCACTTACGCCCAGGAGTTTGAGGCTTCGGTGAGCTATGACTGTGCCACTGCACTCTAGCTTAGGCAACAGTGAGACCCTGTGTCAAAAAAAAAAATATATATATATATAGATAGATAGATAGATATAGATATAGATATAGATATATGTAATATACATATGAAACATACAGGAAATTCATTTATGTAAGAAAAGTCCATCTAATTCAATATATTATGAAATATATTATATTGTTAGTACATTATGAAAGTTGGGTGGGAGAAGTCCATATATGTGGTACCAACTAAGCCAATGTATATATTATGCATTTGAAACATTACTCTGAAAAGGGGCCTATAGACATTATCAGACTGCCAAAGGGGGTTTGTGACAAGAGGAAGAGTGTGACACTGAAAGAGAATGAGTTGGGGAAATCTCTGTACAATAGGAAAATGATTTACAGCATAATTGTATGAGTAGTTCAATAACCTAATAACTAGCTAGTAGAAAACTTACGATTCACATCTCCCATTATCCTTCTGTTATCGTATTTGGTAAGTGAATCTTCAGTTTAAGCCAACTATATAACCTTCTTTCAGTCTAAATCACACCTGCCTATTTGGTACTAAATAAGCTGGTAGTGAGTACTATAGCATCACTCACTGCTAAATATACTAAAATTAAAAATATTTGAGGTTACCTTTCCTGATTGTTTCCCAAAGAAGAAAACAATGACACTCTCCAACCACCAGTTTCTCAAACGAAATCTTTCAAAACAGAATCTGAACATGGCTCCTCATTTCCATCAACTACAACATTCATGTTTTTCCTTGCAGCTCCAGCTCAAAGGACAACCACAACATTCAAAGCAACAGCTGTACTTTATACAGACTTTGCAATTTAATTTTAGCTTGATCATACTTGATTCTAATCATTTTTTCTTCCTTAGAAAAGGAAATTACAAGCCCAAGACAAAAATCATTTTTACAGAGTATTTATAGGATTGCTCATCATACTAGAAGTGCCAAAAAATTACATGTAAAATTTCAGTAAAACACAGTTCTTAAACATTTGTTTTACTTAAGTTTCTTAAGCAGCAAAACAAAAAGCTTTGCAACAAGAGTGTGAGTGGCCATTTTAATAATTTGCAAATAATTCTGCTTAAATAATAAAAAACACCTAGTTAAAATTCTGTACTCTTTAATCACTACTTAATTTTAATATGACAAATTACTCAACTTCATTAACATATTTTACACATTAAATGTGATTCATCCAACTTATGTCTTACAGATGCTGTATTTATTGACATTTACAGAAAAACTCACAGCAGTGACACCTCTAAGAAGTGTCAGAAGAGAAAGCCAAGCAATTAAAGGAAGTGTTTAATAGGAAAGTTATGATTTATTTCAAGTATAACAAAAAAGGATCAGTTCTTTGAACCTTTAAGTATCAAAAGAATTTTAAATTTAGACCTGATAAAACACACCATCTTGTCAGTAAGCTGATAACCTTGAATGGTGAAATAAATGTTAGTATTATCCTATTCCTTGAAAAACATTCCTATCAATAACAGGGTAAACAGCTGTTTGGGAGAATTATAGTAACCTGTACCAAATCCCTATTTCACAAATGCAGCATAATGATGAATTTTTATTTCCATCACCACTCTAGCCTTCAAAAATATCTAGACGTGGTTGTCAGTAATTCATATCCAACCCACTCTATATTCTACTGCCCCAGTATTTAAAAACGAGTTTAGGCCAGGCATGGTGGCTCGTGCTTGGAATCATGGCACTTTTGGGAGGCCAAGGCAGGAAGAATTTTAAAAAATTAGTTTTTAAATTTAAAAACAGTAAATTAAAACATTTCAAAAAACATTAGGTAGGCACGATAGTGTGCATCTTTAGTACCAGCTGCCTTGGAAGCTGAGGCAGGAGGATCGCTCGAGCGCAGGAGTTCAAGACTGCAGTGAGCTATGATTATGCCACTGTACTCCAGCCCAAGTAACAGCACGAGACTCCATTTCTAAAAAAATTAAATAAATATGAGTACAAGAGCTGACCAAAAACAGGTAATTAGCAAGAACACTATCTTCAGACTTTAATTTCCCAATATTTGGGGTCTCCCTGGATGTCTGATTTCTATTTTAATTCGGTTGTAATCAGTAAATTCTCTCTCTCTCTCCTCAACCTCCTCCACCCGTTTTTGATTTTTTTTCATTTGTTTGTTTTTTTGGAGGCAGAGTCTCACTCTGCTGCCCAGGCTAGAGTGCAGTGTTGTGATCTCAGCTCACTGCAACCTCTGCCTCCCAGGTTCCAGCAATTCTCCATGACCCAGTAATGGTGCATTATGAATATACCATGTGAATTAACAAATGAATATTCTGCATTGCTGGATAGAGTGTTCTACAATAACATTTTGGCCAGGACGGTTGATAGTGTTGTCCAGATCTTCAATGTCTCTAGGTCTATTGATTTTTTATCTAGTTGTTCTATTATTTGCTGACAAAGGAGAGTTAAAGTCCCCTATAATCATTTCAAGCTATCCTCTTCTGGCACTCTCTCTCATTCAGAAGTCTCCCCCTCATTCTTTGACAGACATGATTGCCCTAGCCTTTTATCTCTGGGTTCCCCAGACCAGAAAGACTGCATACTTTCTATAGGAGCTTTCCACCCTGTGACTGTGGTCCATCCTTTGGATAGGCTGCTAAAACAGAAAATCCACCCTGTGCCAGTTTTTTCTTGTAAAGTTTCAAGTCCCTTCTACAATCTGCTTAGTTTTGCTCACACTCTAGATACTTAGATTTTATATTGTATCCAAAGTTTATAATTATTCTGCAGGCACATCAATCTATTAGCTTATTTTGCCATATCAAAAGTCTCTACACAACAAATTTTTTTTCAGTCTCACTGTATATATGTGTGTCTGTCTCTATCTGACATACTGAACCCAGAAAGATGTGGCTCTATAAAAAGTTTGATAAACATGGTACTAACAAGAACAAATTTCATGAAACAGTAACTTGAGGGTCATAGTGTATCCAGCAAGAGGAAGGTCATTACTAGCAGTGGTTAAATGTTTATTTAAATAAGACTATTCCAGTAGCTATGTTGGAGGATGGATTTGAGAAAGAAGATCAGTTAAAGCACTAATTTAACAATCCAAAGGATAGACTGGGAAGTAATAGGAGGCATAAAAGAATGGGGATTATTAAGCCAGAGAAAATAGCAGTATGCAGGCAAGAAAACAAGTTTCACAGAAATTAAAGGGACTGTCAAGGGAGAAGCCACATTTTGCTCCCACAATCTGTAGTCTGAAAATACTAAGGCATTAACTCCTCTCTCCATACTTCTTACATTCACTCCTATCACCTCAGCCCACCCTACAGAATTGGAAAATAAGCAAGGATCATGTCTCTTCCATCCCATGCTAAAAGTAGACCTCATTAACCAATCACTGCATGCTGGCCAATTGAACCGAACTGAACGTATCCTTCTTTTTAATAATATAGAAGTTCCAGGGTATCACTACCAACTAATTAGCTTAAGCATATGGTAGGACATCTATCTGCTATCCCTAATTTACATATTGACCAGACTACTCTACCTTAAATGAATGTATATATAATCAAACTGAACAATAAAACAATTTTTTAAGTGATCCCTGTTTATACTGTCAAGCTCAAATTCATACACTGGGCCTCTTAATCTAGCACAACCCACCTTCAAATTCATCTATTCCCTTACCTATATGTTCAAACCCCTCACATATATGTTCACAATTCCACCCAATCCCTTTTTATAATGTGACATGTACATTTCTATCTGCAACCCTTTCTTTGTTTACACTACCCCTGCTAAAAAGCCCTTATAACTACAATTCCCAGCTAAATTCTTTTCGTCAAGACTCAAGTCTGGTCCTCACAGCCCCTTGCATTATCTTCCCCTAAAACATTTCTATAGCAAACCAAGCAACAGGTTATCTTTAATGCTGATGCTTTCTACATTCAACCAATCCACAAACAACATGAGAGTAAGAACCTTATTGATCATCATGGAAAGGCAAATCAAAACCATAATGATACTATTTCCTATCTAGTGAGACGGCTATAACCAAACAGACAGATAATGAGTGACAGTGAGGATGTGGAAGAATTGGAACACTCATACAATGCTGGTAGGAAATGTAAAATGGTGCAGCCACTTTCAAAAACAGTCTGACAGTTCTTCCAAAATACAGGCATACAGTTCAAGTGTTACCATTTGACCCAGCAACTGCATGCCTTAGGTGTATATACCCATAAGAAATGAGTATTTATGTCCATCGAGGAATTTGTACATCAATTTTGTAGCAGCATTATTCACTATTGCCAAAAAGATGGAAACAAAACAAATGTCCATTAAATGATGAATGGATAAACAAAAGCAATATATCCATACAATGGAATAGTATTCAGCCATAAAAAGAAAGGAAATACTGACATATGCAACAATGTGAAGTTTAAAAAAAATGCTAAGTGAAAGAATCCAGTCACAAAAGATACTTATTGTGATTCCATTTGAAATTGCTCCATATAAAATATCCAGAATAAGTTAATCTATGGAGACAGAAAAATAAATTGTGGTTACTTATATCTGAAGGGAATGGAAGAAAAGAATGAATTTCCTTCACTTGTTTCATCAGCCCTCATTATTTACTTCTGTCAAGAATAAGTAAATCTACAGAGACAGAAAACAGATAAGTGGTTCTTAGGTCTAAAGGGAATGGAAGGTTATGGAGGTAATAGCTTAAAGGGTGTAGAGCTTCTTTTGGGAAGTGATGAAAACATTCTAAAACTGATCGTGGTAACAACTGAACAACTTTGTGAACGTACTACAAACTATTAAATTACATACTTCAAATGACTAAATTGATGACAGAAATTACGTCTCAAAAGAAGCTATTATCAAAAGAAAAAAAGACACACTAAAAGAGAAAGGCATGGAGTAACATGATGCACTAATTTTCAATACAGCTAACCCTATGTTATATCAGGTCCTCAGGGTCTAGAAGACTTCACTATCTCAATAATTTACTTTCTTCTTGCCGATAAAAATTTAAACTATTAAGGCTAGTTAAAACGTTTAATATTTAAGACCAGAGAATTGTTAAGAAGAAGACTCACTTTTAGAAGTCATGCTTTAAAATGGTTCTGTATATCGCTTCTCGGCCTTTTGGCTAAGATCAAGTGTAAAATGGTTCTGTATCAACTTTCATTTATTTAAGGTCATGATCAGATTTACATTTAAACAGCACTAAGTCGTCACAGTAGTAAGGCTGGATAATTTTAAAACATAAAATAGAAATTTTCCAGCCAGATGCTGTGACTCATGCCTGTAATCTTAACATTTTGGGAGGACAAGGCAAACTCCCTGAGCCCAGGAGTTCAAGACCAGCCTGGGCAACATGGCAAAACCCCATCTCTACCAAAAAAAAAAAAAAAAAAAAAAAAACACAAAAATTAGCTGAGGATGGTGGTATGCACCTATAGTCCCTGCGACTTGGGGGGCTGAGGTGGGAGGATCACATGAGCCTGAGGAGGTCGAGGTTGCAGTGAGCCATGATCATGCCACTGCACTTTAGCCTGGGTGACAGGGTAAGACCATGTATAGGCAGGGAGGGGGGAAGGGGGAAGGGGAGGGGGAAAAAAGGGGGATGGGGGAAACGGAGGGGAAATTTGCCTTCACTTGATTCATTAGCCCTCACTATATCCTACAGAGCTCTTCTACCCTTCCAAAATTGGCCACAACACACTCTGTGCTCTTACACCCTCTTTCCCTCTTTCTTCACCCATCACATCTGATATTTATCAATTCTCCAGTACTCCAGAAAGATCTTCCAAGATTCTAGCCACAAAGTTCAAAGCTCTAGGCCAAATTTAAAATATTTTATTAATGCAGGTAAATAGTTTACATTTTCTTTCTTACACTGCTATATCATTTCACTTGACATTTCCACATGAACGTCCTGTATCACTACATAAGTTTATCGAAGGCTGACAAATCTAACTTTCTCAAATTTGAAACAGTAATATATCCATAATAAGTGAGTAAAAGAACATTTGGTTAACTACTGGGGGTTAAGAAGAAACATGGCAGAGGGTATTTAAGGTCAACCAACACTCCCAAATGCTCAGGCTAATCCACTCTGCATAAAGGTTTAATAAATAGTATTTTTAATTCTTTCATCGGTAGACTTTTGGGTCTGAACACTATGGACTTTTCACTGAAAGAACAAATGAGTTCCTGAAGTGGCTGTGGACTGTTTTTGTTTTTGTTTTTTAACAGAGATCTCAACAGACTATGAATAAAGTTGGTGTTTCTAAGTAGTCCAGCAGAATCTTTCAACCTGAGAAACCAGGGACATAAATGCCTCATTAAATAATCATTTTTAGGCATCTGCTAAGGCTTTACATTTCATACAACGTGTGCAACTCAATATATGAACACTACTAAAGAAATGCTTCCTCACTGTGACAACACTACCCTTTCTCTCAACTTACAACGAGGGATTCCTAGAAAACTATATCAAGCCATCCATACGAACGATATTAACGGGAATATAAGTATAAAGTCGTAGGTCTGAATTTGAAAAAGCTTATGAATCATTTTTCTCAGTGATACGACTAAGTATACTGTTGGCAAGAACATCACCCAGCACAGATATGAACACATAGGCCTGCCAAAAAGTCTACTTTCATTTCTGGTTTAAAATAACTATATAATTTTGATTATTAAATGTACTCAAATGTCTCAAAAGGAACACAAATATTACCTGGCAGTTTTTATGTTGCTTCTCCAGGATTCTGAATTATGGGGACAACAGGACTCAAGTGGCATTGCACATGTTTAAGAGCACTTGTGCTGGCACTGAGAAATGGGACACCTGCTTCCATTTGCCACTTCCTCTACCAAGGTTATTCTCAAGCTGAAGGAGTACACAGCCATAGGAAAAAGTCTTGCAAAGTCTTCTGGCAATGGTAATTAGCACACACACCCTTTATCTTACCCTACTCAAAACTATATATACAGTTAGGTCCAAAACCTAAGTGTGGAACAGCACTGGGACAGCACTGAGATTTAACTGATCTCTACAGTGAACTCACTCTAAAATAAAATTACTAATAGTTCAATATAAGAAGTTAATTTTTCAAGCCATATTTAAAAGAAGGTGGAGCTTCCAGTAGAATGTTGAATAGGAGTGGTAAGAGAGGGCATCCTTCTCTTATTCCAGTTTAAGGGGAATGTGTCCAGCTTTTGTCCATTCAGTATAATGTCAGCTGTGGGTTTTTCACAGATCGCTCTTATTATTTTGAAGTATGTACCTTCAATCCCTAGTTTGAGGGTTTTTAACATGAAGAGATGTTGAATTTTATGGAAAGCCTTTTCAGAATTTATTGAGATAATCAAGTCATTTTTTGCTTTCAGTTTTGATTATATGATAGATCACACTTATTGATTTGCATATGTTGAACCAACCTTGCATCCCAGGGATAAAGCTTGATTGTGGCAGATTAGCTTTTCGATGTGTCGCTGGATTCAGTTTGCTAGTATTTTTTTGAGGATTTTTGCATCTATGCTTATCAAGGATATTGACCTGAAGTTTTCTTTTTGTTGTGTCTCAGCCAGCTTTTGGTATCAGGATGATACTGGCCTCAGGAATTAAGGAGGAGGCTCCTTCTCCTCTATTTTTGGAATAGTTTCAGCAAGAGTGTTAATAGCTCTTCTTTATACATCTAGTAGAATCTGACTCTGAATTCATCTGGTACTGGGCTTTTTCTGGTTGGTAGGCTTTTTATTACTGATTCAATTTCAGAGCTCATTATTGGTCTCTTCAGGATTCAATTTCTTCCTGGTTCAATCCCAGGAGGTTGTATGTTTCCAGGAATTTATTCATGTCTTCTAAGTTTTCTAGTTTGCATGCATAGAGGTGTAGTCTAAGGGTTTTTGTATCTCTGTAGGGTCAGTGGTAATGTTCTCTGTCATTTTCTGATTGTGTTTATTTGTATCTTTTCTCTTTTTTTATTAGTCTAGCCAGCAGTCTACCTACCTAATTAGTTCTTTCAAAAAAACAACCCCTGGATTTATTGATCTTCCGCATTTTTTTTTTTGAGACAGAATCTCGCTCTGTCACCCAGGCTGGAGTGCAACGGCGCAATCTTGGCTCAGTGCAACCTCTACTTCCCAGGATCAAGTGATTCTCCTGCCTCAGCCTCCTGAGTAGCTGGGATTACAGCTAAAAAGGGATTTTAGCTGTAATCCCAGGCACAGGGATTAGTACCTGGCTAATTTTTGTATTTTTGGTAGAGTTGGGGTTTCACTATGTTGGTCAGGCTGGTCTCGAACTCCTGACCTCATGATCTGCCCACCTCAGCCTCCCAAAGTGCCTTTGTGTTTGTTTGAGACAGAGTCTCACTTTGTTGACCAGGTTGGAGTGCAGTGGCATGATCTCCACTCACTGCAACCTGCAACCTCCACCTGCCAGGTTCAATTCTCCTGCCTCAGCCTCCCGAGTAACTGGGATTATAGGCATGCACCACCACACCCGGTTAATTTTTGTATTTTCAGTAGAGATGGGATTTCACCACTTTTGGCCAGCCTGGTTTCGAACTCCTGACCTCAGGCAATCCACCTGCCTCAGCTTCCCAAAGTGCTGGGATTATAGGAATGAGACACCATGCCCAGCCTGTGTGGTTTTTTTGTGCGATTCAATTTCCTTCAGTTCTGCTCTGATTTTATTTTTTGTCTTTTGTTAGCTTTAGGGATGCTTTGCTCTTGATTTTGTTCCTCTAGTTGTGATGCCTAGGTTATTAATTTGACATCCTTCCAGCTTTTTGAAGTCCTGGCCAGAGCAATCAGGCAAGAGAAAGAATAAAAGGCACCCAAATAGGAAGACAGAAAGTCAAACTATCCCTGTTTGCAGATGATCAGATTCTATACCTAGAAAATCCCATATTCTCTGTTCTCATAAACTTCACCAATGTTTCAGTATACAAAATCCAATCTATAAAAACCAGTAGCATTCCTATACACCAACAATATCCAAGCAACTACAAAAATAAAATACCTAGGAATACAGCTAACCTGGGAGGTAGATCTCCCCAATGAGAAATACAAAACACTGGTCAAAGAAATCAAAGGAGAACACAAACAAATGGAAAAATATTCCAAGCCCACAGATAGGAAGAATCAGTATTATTAAAATGGCCATACTGCTCAAAACAATTTAAATTCAATGCTATTCCTATCAAACAACCAATATTCTTCATAGAATTAGAAAAAACTACTTTAAAATTCATATGGAACCAAAAAATAGCCCAAATAGACAAAGCAATCCTAAACAGAAGGAATAAAGTAGGAGGCATCACGTCACCCAACATCAAACTATACTATAAGGCTACAATAACCAAAACAGCATGGTACTACTACCAAAACAAATGCATAGGTTCATGGAACAGCATAGAGAGCCAAAAAATAAGGCCACACACCAACAACCATCTGATCTTCAACAAAGCTGACAAAAACAAGCAATGGGGAAAGGATTCTCTATTCAATAAATGGTGCTGGGATAACTGGCTAGCCATATGCAAAAGGCTGAAACTGGACTCCCTTCCTTACACCATAAAGAGAAATCGACTCAAATGTAAAACCTGAAACTGTAAAAACTCTGGAAGATAAACAAAATATTAACAAGCCACACATCCAATAAATGTTTAATATTCAGAATTTATAAGGAACTTAAATCAATAAGCAAAAAACAACTCCATTACAAAGAAGGCAAAGGATATGAACAGATACTTTCCAAAGTCAAACATATATGTGACCAAAAACCATATGACAAAATGCTCAACATCCCTAATCACTAGAAAAATGCAAATCAAAACCACAATAACATAGCATCTCACACAGTCAAAATGGAGATTATTAAAATGTCAAAGAAATAACAGACGCTGGCAAAGTTGTAGCGAAAAGGGAACACTTATATACTGCTGGTGGGAATGTAGGTTAGTTCAACCACTGTGGAAACCAGATTGGTGATTTCTCAAAGAACTCAAAGCAGAATTACCATTCAACCCAGCAATCCCATTATTGGGTATCTACCCAAAGGAATATAGAGATACTAGCCTCAAGACACATGCATACGTATGTTCACTGTAGCAGTACTCACAATAGCAAAGATATAGAATCAACCTAAATGCTCATCAATGTTAGACTAAAGAAATGTGGTATACACAATGGAATACTACGCAGCCATAAAAAAAGAATGAAATCATGTTCCTGGTAGCAACATGGATGGAGCTACAGGCCATTATCCTAATCAAACTAACATAGGAACAGAAAACCAAATACCACATGTTTTGTGCAAGTTAAACACTGAGTACATATGGACATGAAGGAAACAAAAGACACAGGGGCCTACTTGAGGGTGGAAACAGGAAGATGGGTGAGGGTCAGTAACTACCTATCGGGTACTATGCTTATCACCTGGTAATGAAATAATCTGCACACAAACCCCCATGACATGCAATTTATCTATATAACAAACCTGCACATATACTACTAAACCTAAATTTTTTCAAAAACAGAAGGTGAGTAGCCAAAACTACTTCTCCTCTCTCTCTCTCTCTCTCTCTCTCTCTCTCTCTCACACACACACACACACACACACACACACCCTAAAACCTAAAATTTAAGATAACTTAAGAGGATCATACAAAAAAAAAAAGGTTGACAAATGGATTAACTTAGGTTTGGGAATGATTTCACACAAAATACTTACTCTGCATCTGACCCAGTTTTTCAAAACTAACACAGGACTCTATCTAAGATTAACCACTTCAGAAAACAAATATTTACTAATCTTTTATATTCCTCTTTCTTTTTCTACCAGATGGTACAGTCTCAAATTGGGGTAAGGAATCTGAATAAGCATAGATAAAAGCTTCTAATAATTTATTTATTCACTCATTACACTCAACAAACAGCTACTAAGAATGTATTATAATGACAGGCAAACCTGAGAGATAACCCAAAAATGAATAATATATATTCCTTACCGTCATAAAGGTATACAGTATAGTGGGAAAAACATCTATGACAGCAGTATGCTGAGTGCTCTGACAGCAGTAAGCACAGATTGCTCAGGAAGCACACTTTGGAGTACTTGACTTGGCCCCAGAAAAGGCAACTACCCACTAATTTAGGATCTTATCAAACCAAAGCAGTGGTTTTCACATGGAAGAATCTGTCTCTCTCTGGAATTCATGTTGATCATTTAAACTAACTTTTCTGATTTGGGAGAAGCCAACAAAAAACAAAAGAGTTCTGACTTTTTGCTACTACCTAGCTTTGGGAAGCCATCATCCATGGGCCTCTCATGTTTCTGTACATCTTGTGTCAGCAACTTTTCCACACTATTTCATGGACATCTGGATAGCACACAGCCTTAGGTGATACAAATAGTGTCTCCACGGGGAGCAGAGGACAAATTTGTGTCCTGACCAGAATAAAGATAACTTCTCCCTCAGGAGCGAAGGTTGTCCAGGTTTGCTAGCAGCCTTTTAATAACAATAGGGGTCTCCTGAGCTTAAGCCTTTACACCTAGGACAAAAGCCTACTCTGTGTACAGCACCAACCCAGGCCTGTCACCACATGGCTCCTGTGGGACTTGAGGGGCAGGAGAACCAATGCAAACTTGAAGCTCATACTGCCTGCTGTGCCATGAGTTGTCCAGCAACGTAAGAAAGTATGGCAGGCTAATTTGTAAACCTGCAAGTAGGGTAGAATCTCAGACTCTTCATAATTCTTAAAACCTAGAAAAATTCTCTTTCTTCAGTAATCAGAAAAGCCAAAGAAATCTGAAATTTCTGTCACAAAACAGAGGTAATCGGGCTTAGGGTAGGTAGGGAAAAGAAGGAATAACTCAGTATGCCATACCTAATCATGCAATTACAAACTCCTAAGTCTGGTTAGCTAAGCTGGTGCCAGTAGACACACTGGAAACTAGATAGTTGGGCTCCAGGATATTGACAGCATATGCTTGGGCAATAAAACACCTCTTCTTCCCTTCTTATTATGAAAGAGGGGAGATGAAAAATAAGTATTATGTGTAAAAAGACTCAATAATGGCTCAATAAATAAAATTAAATAAAATGGTTCAATAGTTACTAAAACACATATTACTAAGTACACTGAAAATGGAGCCAACCTAAGAAACACTTAATAGAAAATAGTAAAGAGAACGTAAGACTCACTGCAAGCCAGATTTTCATAGATTCCTTAAAAAAAAAAAAGTTCCATCTCAGAAGATTTGAGTGGGGAGCAGAAATACAGCGCTTTAATAGAAATTTACCTACTCTATGATTTGCAAAATCCTACTTTATGAATAAGTCATCAAGTAGAAGATAGTTCAAATAGATCAAAAGACACAAAGAAAACAAAACAATGCTGATCCAAACCACAGGAGAGGGCATTATTTAGCAAGCTCATGCTAAGTGTTTTTGGAATATGCAACCATTTCCTACATCAAACATTTTGAAATTAGTGTACCTTCCAAAATTAGGTATCACAGCAAGAAAGAAAACATTCCTCTGCTTTGTTGCTTCCCATGACAAAAATCAGTACATACGAAAATGCATGCAGGTGGAAGAATTATTCTAATCATCATCACCCAAAGACATAAAGGGAAATATGCCATTTTAATTTAAAAAACAAACTTGGGTGTGAATTATTATATGTCGGCATACCTTATCATGGTTGTCACTGAGGAATTAATTGATTCACTGACTCTAGCAATGAGAGAGGTGGAGAGAGAACAGACCAACAGGAAGGAAAATGGCACCAAGATAGATCATCCTTGAAAGCAGGAGCTTCATGCACTTTTCCAAAAGTTGCAATAAGTGATATCTATCTCATGCACATTAATGCCAAGAAATCTCTTCTTATATAGTCCAGGGACATTTACAGTGCCCAGTTTACTAAGGCACTTGTTTCTAGAGCCTAAAATTTATGCACCATAAGAATCACCACCACATTGGCCTTATTAGAACTATAACAAAATACCACTGTTTTCAATCATTTGTTATGCCAAATAAAAACCAGCAGA